TTTCAGTAGTACTACAAGGAGAAACACAAAGTATAAGCAATTGGAAAATTGCAAAATTAAAATATTCAGTAGTACATAAAAACAGTACATGTTCCCCTTAAACGCCGGGGGTCTTTCTCCATCTATTCTTATGGAGAGATTCTGGACCAAAGGCAACCCCACTTCACGTTCTGCCTCCTCCACTCTCCCCTCTGGGAGAGGGCCTGATGCTCCCTTTACCCTGAGCGCAGAGTGGAGGGGTCTGCTGACACGCACAGTGGCTGTTGGGCCAGGGCCAGGGAAGTAGGAGGAGGCCACTCCACAGACCCTTGGGGACGCCCATGGCCTGCCCCCAGCCCCTGGGTGTGGTTGCAAGGCAGGGAGGTGTTCCCAGGCCAGCTGACCCCTGTCTCCTTCCACCTGTAGGTCTCAAGAAGTAGCGGCATAATGAGGTCATCCTGACGGCCTACAACATCATCGGCGAGAGCCCAGCAGCGTGCCCGAGGAGGTGTTCGTCAGCGAGGCTGGTAAGCTCCGGGGGCCCCCGCCTTCTGGGAGGCCTGGCCTGGCACTCTCAGGGGCCGAGCAGTGTGCCTGTGATGAGGAGCATGGTGCTGGTGTGCGGCCGGGAGGTTCCAGGTCCCTGCTGGGAGAGACGGGACCTGCCAGGGCTGGGCGGACCCAGCGGCCCGAGAGACCCGTCCAGTCTTGCTTTCAGACCTGAGGGTTCATTTCACACCCAGAGCCCTCCTCGTGCGTCCCAGTTTGTGCTCCTGGAGTGACGCTGCTGCCTCCATGGGAATCCGGGCCTGTGGGTCCTTGGCCTCTGCCGGGAAGTCTGTGCTCAGTTGCCCACGGTCCTGGCGGACCCTGGCACATCAGCCTGACCTCCTGGTCATGGCCCCTTCTCAGGTCTCAGAAAGCGATGTGGATCATTGTTTGTACCTCTTTTAGATAAGATGGAGCCCCTGAGTTTGTTCCCAGGGCTGTCCCTTCTGTGGAAGCTCCCAGAGGCCATGTCGCGTTGAGAGCAAATTGGGCTCCTGTCTGACCCGAGGGTCCTGTCCACTCTCCCCTTCCTCTGCTGGGGCTACAGGTCAGCTGGGGCAGGTAGAGGGCCGAGCTTTAGGCTGGGAACAACAGGCATTCCTTCTGAGAACAGAGCCCCAGGCTTGCAGCAGAAGGTGGTTCGGCCCCTGGGCCAGCCCACAGAATCGTGTCCGGTGACCTTTCGAAATTTGGTGAGCTTACTGTTAGAGACCAAAGGATAGCACTGGGGGCCTAACTTAGCAGGATTTTTCCGGAACGGTCAAGCAACCTCTGCAGCAAGTGAGAATGAGTGAAGTACGATGCCTGGAGTGTAGGTTGTGTTGGCTTCTCTGTAGGTCTGTCGCCAGGGGTTAGTCTGGCTGGTGGGGTGGGGTCTGGGGAGCCAGTGATTGGGGCAGATGGGACTCACTTCAGAGGAGCCCCCCGAGCCCGAGCAGGAGCATGGGCACGGAGGGGAAGTGCCTCGCGCCGTCTGGAAGGCGGGGGCTCCAGTCCTATCTGGCACCTGGGCCCACGTTGGTCCCCACGGGGGCTGGGGTGAGGGGAGTGCACGGCTGGCCAGCTTCCATCTGCAGCACCTGAACTGCCCATAGGTGGCCTGCAGCCCGTACCCGGGCCACTGGAGGCACAGCCTGAGTCAAAGGGGCCAGGGCAGATGCTCAGAGGAAAGGACTGGAGCCAGGGAGGGAGACAGGCAGGCACAGGGAGCCGTGTCGGTTGGCCAGGTCACCAGGGGCCTGCAGGCCAGCCCTGTGCTCTCTGCCGCATTGGTCAGTTGGCGTGTATCGGGGCAAAATGCGCACAGCGTGAAGTGTGCTGCCCCCACCACCTGGAAGCAGACGGTGTGGCACGGGGCGCACTCACACTCTGGCACGGCCATCACCCCCGCGTGGGCAGAACCCCCCTTCCCAGAGAGAAGCCCCTTTCTGGTGAAGCTTCTTTCACCAGAAACGTTTTTGAGGTTCATAGCACATGTCAGCACCTTGTTCCTTCTCTCGGCTGGGGGATATTCCACTGTGTCCACATACACATTGTGTTTCTCCCTGTCTGTTGTTGGTTACATGGCTTGTCCTGGCCATCCGGGTTCTGTGAGGAGAGCTGCTGTGAACACTGGGGCATGGGTCTTTTCCAGCAGCACTGAGCTGATGCTGCATCCAGCTGGGAAGGGGGTGCCGCGGAGGCTGCAGTCAGGGGCCTAGCCCTGAGGTGGGGTGCAGGCTCCTCTTGCACCCTGGGGCCTTGGTGAATTGGGGTTTGATTTCCTGAGGCAGCAGGCCCAGGCGCCTCTGTCCTAGGTCACAGTGAAGATTCCATGAGACTGAAGAATGAGAGGTCCTTGGCCTGGCGCCTGGCCCAGGGACACAGAGAAAGCTGTCTGTCCACCTGCACTCCAGGGGTGGGGCAGGGTGAACAGTGCCTGACTGCCCCTGGCAATGCTTCCACTCTGGTGTCGGGCCAGTTTTAAAGGCAGAATGCGCTCCCTCTCCCAATTCAGACGGGCCCATCTACAGAGCCGAGATGGTCATGGCAGAGGAGAGGAAAACCGGTGTCAACCCCGAGAAAGCTCTGACCCAAGAGGGTGTTGGCAGCAAGGAGCAGTCTTGGCCCAGGAAGTGACCGAGGCAGCCAAGTGCTCGGCCTGGGCCAAGCTACCAGCACAGACAATCCTGATGTTCAGAGCCTGGCCGGGGGCCGGGGGCCGGGGGCCGGGAGACTGCAGTCTGGCTCCAGATTGAGGGGGCACGCTGCATAGCCCACAGACTCAGCTGCAGGGGCTCCAGAATTTCCCCAGAGGAGCAGTTTGGGGGAGCGGGCAAGTGTGGCTCACTGCTGCCTAAGGGTGGCCAAGGCCAGGGGCTGCATCCCTCGCAAGAGGGAAGTGGTACCAGATGTGGGGTTGGGTCCAGGTGGCAGGGAACCTTCGGAAACCACCCTTGGGGTTCCCCTTCCTGTTTCACCTGGGTGGGAGATAGTGGCTCGGACGCGCGGTGTAGGGCCTCGCTGTCCTAAATAAAGCCTCTGTGAACAGTGTTGCAAATCCCTTACAACCTCTCTGATTCTCTCTTTGAGAGAAAATGCCAGAAGCAGACTCTTGCTCAAAGGACATGAGCGTTTTGTGCTTGGAGAAACTGAAACTCATTGACACGTCGTGCCCTGGGGACCAGGATGCAGGTCTCGTGGCCTCTCTGCTTCCACATTTCGATCTTGCCTGATTTGTTAGGTGAGAATACATCTCACTAGCGTTCGGTCTGCAAGCCTTTCATCCCTACTGTGCCATCAAATGCCTGTGACTGTACACCGCTCTGTTTCTTGTGGGGTCTTAGCGTCCTGGTGGCGAGAGGTGAGAGCTCTGAATACATCAGGGACATCACATCCGACCCCACTTGGCGCCCATGGTTTCCCTGTTCTGTTGTCTGTCTCTGAGTTTCCTTTGCTAAAATGGTGTGGTCAAACCTCTCGCTCTGTGGTGTCTCTGCTTCCTGTCCAGGCGCCCAACGAGGACCCGGACTGTCTTCCAAATTGTCATGGTTCCCTGGTTCCATGGTTCCATGGTTCCATGGTTCCACGGTTCCATGGTTCCATCCCGTCAACTCTTTAGCGCATCTGGAATTTGTTTCGGTGCCTGGCCAACTAGAGCTTCTCAGTGATATTTGAATGCTCACAAACTCTGATGTCAATGGTAAAGTGGTCCTGAGAATCATTCAGAATCGTGTGCTGAATCTTTCAATATATATGTAGGCATATGGAGAGAGAGAGAATTCACATGCCATACAATTCACCAGTTAAAGTTTACAATTCATTGGTTTTTAGTATATTCAGTATATACTATTTTAGTATATTTTATTTTATATATTTTACCCACCCCCTCTCCCCCCGTTCACATGCACCCTCCTGCCCCAGGCAAACACGCATTTACTTTCTCTCTATAGATCAGCCTTCTGGGCACTTGAGACAGAGGGCATCGTACAATAGGTGGTATTTTGTGACTGCTTCTTTCATTGCATGTACTTTCCATGTTCATCCCCATGGTAGCATGTTTCTGAAATTCGTGCTGTGTTATTGTTGGATTCCACTGCATGGATAGAGCACAGACGACCAATTCATCAGTAGATGGACACTTGGCTTACTTCCACTTTGGAGGGATGACCAGTAACGCGGCCATGCACATTTATGTACACAGTTCTGTGTTTTCATTTCTGTTGGGTAGAAACCCAGGAGCAGAACTTCCGGGCTAGATGATACCTCTGTGTGTAGCGTTTTGAGGAACTGCCAAAGTGCTTTCCAAAGTGGCTGATCCATCCCACGTTTCTGCCAGCGCTGCACAAAGGTTCCGATTTCTCCCCGTCTGTGTCAACACTGTGTGTCCTCTGTCTTGATGCCCGCAGCCATCTTGGAGGGTGGGGCATGGTTGCTCATGGTGGTTCTGATTCCCGATTCCCTAAGGGTTATGACGTTAGGCATCTTTTTCTCTGCTTTTTGGCCATTTCCATATCTTCTTCAGAGAAATATCTGCTGGAATCCTTTGCCCACATTTTTCAAATTGGGTTATTTTTTAAAAATCAATTATTACTGAGTTGTAAGAGGTCTTATGTTCCATATCAGATATACACCTGCCAACATTTTGTCCCAGTCTGTGGGTTGTCTTGTCCCTTTCTTGATGTTTTCATTTAAAGCTCTGAAGTTTTTAATTTTGACGAAGTCAGATTTATCTCTTTTTATCTTGCTTGTGCTTTTAGTGTCATATCTACAGACCCGTTGGGTAATCCAAGGTCATGAAGATTTGCTCCTGTGTTTTTTTCTTTTTTTTTTTAAATAATTTTTTATTGTTATGTTAATCACCATGCATTACATCATTAGTTTTTGATGTAGTGTTCCATGATTCATTGTTTGTGCATAACACCCAGTGCTC